TTGCTCAACTCTGTCGAGAGAGAAGATATCCATTTGTAAGACTTGATGGTACGACATCTATTGGGAAAAGGCAAAAGCTTGTCAACCGTTTCAATGACCCGTCTAAGGTTTGCTGTCCTACAACCAGAATATAATGATCTCTTGGCAACTTTATCTGGTCTTACAGATCTATATGTATGCAGGATGAGTTTGTATTTCTTCTTAGTAGCAAGGCAGGGGGTTGCGGGCTTAATTTAATTGGAGGAAATCGCTTGGTTCTCTTTGATCCTGATTGGAATCCTGCCAATGACAAACAGGTGATTATTATTCTTTAATCCTAGCTAAGTTTTTATGTCACGGTCAAAGGTCTTAATTTGTAAATTTCTGATTGTTTCTTTTATCTATTTCCTACTAAAAGGCAGCAGCAAGAGTCTGGAGGGATGGTCAGAAAAAACGAGTATATATCTATAGGTTTCTAAGCACAGGAACTATTGAAGAAAAGGTTCGTAGTTCCACATTGCTAAATTACGATCGTTTTGTGAACGAATCATTTATCATGTACATCGCGCTGGTTTAGCAATTTAGAAGCATTTAGTTGACTTTCTTTGATATTTAGAGAATTTATTTTTAATTTGGTAGGTCTACCAGCGGCAAATGTCGAAAGAAGGGCTCCAGAAAGTTATTCAGAAGGAGCAAGTGGATAGTGATATGGTAGCTGTATGAATCTTTGTGGATATTCTGTATGTCTTGTCATAGTATTCTGCTAATAAGTCACTTATTGCAGGAAAATTTCCTATCAACTGAGGATTTGCGAGATCTGTTTACAATTCATGAAAGTGTAAGGTACTTCCTAGATTTGTATCCTGTATTCTGATATTTTCAGCTTATTCGGCAACCAATGTAATCTAACCATAGTGAGCATTGTTTTTCAATGTACATACCATTTCATTGTGTACTATCGTATTCAGTTAAATGCGGAATATTCGTATGTAAAACACACATTTATAGGTAAATAAACATGCTATATCCCCTTGGTGGACTGTTAACAAATTGAATCCAGCATTGTTCTCTTTCTTCTCTTCACTTTCATTTTTTACAGCATTGTTCTCTTCTTCCTTACCACTTAAAGCCATTTATTCTTTCTTTCCCTCCTGATTTTCATCTCTTCCTCCTCCCTTTCCTTCAAATTTTCTTGTGCATTTATTTCCTGTTCCACTGCAAGCTTCCCCAACCTTCTTTTTCTTTTTTTTGACAATCGCTTTTGGCAACTGAAAGCTTTCTGACCACTCATTTTTGGAAGCAATGAATAAGTTGCAAGAAAATGAGAAGTGGAATGTATGATTGAGATTCATTAGGACTGAGGTGGTGTAGTCAGAATTCCTATCAGGAAGGAATGCTGTGGACATGGACTGTCATGGTAGTTTTTACTTCATAACATAGTGATATGAGAATCTCTATCACCTTTTGCAATGTCATGACTCATTTATATTGATAATTGAAGTGGTAATCAGACTGGTAGTAATCTGACATTTCATGAATACACCAAATGTATTATGATTACTTGTTATGTGATCCATCAAAGTCATGATACTGTTGTCTAGGTAGTTTGGATTCATTGTCTACTTGATGATATAGGAATTGTTATCACCTATTGCACTCTCCTTTATTTTGGTGACAGCTGACCACAGTGGTATTCAGATTCTTAGAATTTTGTGTTTCATTTCTGAAGTATGCATATCATAATTGATTTCCATTTACCTCCTGAGAATTTAGATTTACATACCATTCTTTTGCGGCATGAGCTGACTGATTTTCTCTCTTTTATTTATTTATTTATTGACTTTAACAGAACTATCTTTTCCGTGATAGAATGACATGAAAAATAATAATTTTATTATTTTCTTGGTACAATAGAATATGGTAGAAGTCCTATCCGAGTACTTAATATAAAATTTGGAAGAATATTTAATTTAAATCTTCAACTACATGGTCTTACAATGTAGTGTCCTAGTTTAATGATTACAAATTTGAGATTCTTATGATTTCTTGAAAACTATGAAAGCAACAGTTCTGTAAATGTAATGTTTGTCTTATAGTATCTATTGTTATTAATGCTTAAAATTATATAATGATCATCTCTGCCCGTATCCTTCTCAATTATTGACTTTAACAGAACTATCCTTTCCGTGATAGAATGACATAAAAAATAATAATTTTATTATTTTCTTGGTACAATAGAATATGGTAGAAGTCCTATCCGAGTACTTAATATAAAATTTGGAAGAATATTTAATTTAAATCTTCAACTACATGGTCTTACAATGTAGTGTCCTAGTTTAATGATTACAAATTTGAGATTTTTATGATTTCTTGAAAACTATGAAAGCAACAATTCTGTAAATGTAATGTTTGTCTTATAGTATCTATTGCTATTAATGCTTAAAATTATATAATGATCATCTCTGCCCGGATCCTTCTCAACAAAACCTAGATAATCCTTTTGTGACACATTTGAGCAAAATAATGCATCTATTCATAATTCATTCCCATAGTCAACTTTGAATTTCAAGAATCAGACAATATTTATGATTTATCACCAACACAATGATTACCTCTTGACACTCCTTTGTAGCAAGAACGCTAAAGCTCCAACCGAAGTATTTTTAACTTCTTTAAATGCCCCTACCATGGTTTGAGCAGTTGTGTGCTTACTATCTTGCTGACAATTTTTGGTTTTATATCATTCCATTACTGTGTTCTCTTCGTGCAGCTTGAACTAATCTCCATGGCTTGTTGAATCTAGTTAGAGCCGGCAGCTCATATTCTTTTAAATGTTTTCTTATGGATACAACCTCTATGTAGGTCAGAGATTCATGAGAATATGAATTGCACTCGATGCCAAACAACTGATCGGATATTAGAGAATGCTAGTGGGAACATGATGGAGGTTTCTGATGGTCAAGATTCTACAACTGGAGATTGCGCTTGCAGTCAAATAGCTGATGATATTGGTGGATTTGCTGACATTGCTGGATGCTTGAACAGATTAAAAAGCTCTGAGAAACAAGTAGGTGGATAATTGCATTTAGCATCATTAGGTCCGAATTTTTAGTTTATGGTTGTATATTTATTTATTTATTTTTGTCTCTTCTGTTTGTCATTTCTCTCAGATTGGAACTCCACTTGAAGAAGACCTTAGAAGCTGGGGTCATCATTTTAGCTCAAGTACAATTCCTGATGCAATACTGCAGGCTTCTGCTGGTGATGAGGTGCCATATTATCTATATTTTCCGTATTTCCTATCCGTTACTCTGGAAATGGCAAAATTTTGGTTCAGTAGAAACATTCCCAAAATTCAAATCCTGCTCAAACCTTTTTTTTTTGCCCCCCTCTCTCTTCCTTTTCTTGTCATTCCTCTGTTATAGCCATCATAGCTCACTTTCTGGAATCACCTGAAACATCTGTTTCTGGCAGATAACTAATACTCAACATGATTGTAGTTCTCACATTCTTGAACACGATAATAGTTCGCTTTCATGTTCTTCAGCAGTCTGTTGGGCCAAGAAAGTTTCTAGCATTCCCGGTCCATTGCATTAATGATGCACCACAAGAATGTTAATCGTTGGATGTATGCACTAATCTATAAGTTTAGTAATTTATCTGGGACATCCATTTGGTGCATCATTATTGCTGTGTACGAGGCCCACTGGATGCTTTCTCACTTGGGCCAAGATTTGCTGTTGTTTTCCTAACATCGTGTCAACTTTTGATGCAGGTCACGTTTGTTTTTACAAATCAAGTGGATGGGAAACTTAAACCAGTTGAATCTGCAGTAAGATCAACAAATCAGCCCTTGACGGGACAAAGCCACCCCATAAACGAAAGCAAGAAAATTCCTTGTAATAAAAGTTCTTCAGAATCAAGTCAAAATTTTAGGATTGTGCCGACTTTTGAGAGGAGGTCAACTAAGCTTTTAAGAACTTCGCCATTTGGTCTACAACGAAAGTCGAATGTGCTCTCCAATAGTAAAGGTTCAACCCAAAAACAAGCACATGCTTCTGATAATGCAACAGATGATGATTTTGTGTGAATAGTCTCGGAAATTGTAGTCAAGGAAATTTTGTTCATAGTTGAAGAAATTTCATTCAGAGGTTTAAAGGGATTGTTGAAGTGCTTCCCTTTTGCCTGTCATATATGTGGCTCCAACTTGAATAAGTAGGCATGGATCACCCTGCATAAAAGAGATGGAGAAAGCATTTTAATCCACCCAAAGTGTTGCCTAGCAGAGAAACTGAAGTGAAACTAGATTGAGTAAGATTTATTTCCTTTCATATACAAGACAATTTAATAAATTTTGAGGTTGGTTGTAAACAGTCTCACCTTCCCATTAAGAATTTCAGAAAAGAAATGGGAGGGAAAGACTTCTCGTTGCAGAGACCCTGTACACAAAATATTGTAACTTTTTTTTTTCCTGCTTTCTATCTCAGGCTGAAAAACCTGCAATTATAAATATTTACTCAAGGACTATTTTCACTCCCTACATGCTGAATAACTCCACTGTTATACATGCCTTTCTAGTGTGGACTATTAGAAAAATCTCTACATGCGTTGCTGAAATTAGTTAAACAGAAGATGTGCAACTCCATTATAGTTTTTGTCATTTCATAATCAAAATTTGAGAAGATGATGTATTTCTGGTAAATAACCTAAAGGTGGACTCTCTTATTCCCTAGTGATATAGTTGGTACCGTATGTGACGCTCTGTACTGTTATTGCTTCGCTATGATCATTGTTTGATTGCTCTGAATCTACTGAGCTTTTGTACCAAGCATGTTTCTCCATTAATTTTAAGAGTTAACGAGTCCCCTAGAAGAAATAAGCTTGATTATCTGGCTGTGTTCCATTTTCTACAAATTAAATATAAAATTGAAATAAAACAAATGCTACTGAAATTGATGTTCCCTTTCGGAATTTGATTGTAGAATAAACGATCCAGAGTGGCTTCATTTATTTGAGGACAAATTTCCAAAACCAACCCCATTTGAAATTTAATTACAAAATTCAACTTGTTTAACATTTAATTAGCATTTTCGATCCAGTTTCACTCACAAATGGATCAAAAATGCTAAATAAATTGCAAAGATTTTATGGGATTGTGAATTTCTGTGAAGTTTAGCCTAAAATTATCTAGGTAATTAATCAAAACAATCTAAGTTTAGCACGAAATTATTCAGATAATTAATCAAAACAATCTTCACGGGATTGCTAATCCTGTGAAGTTTTGTTTCATTGCGATCTTCACGGAATTGACAATCTTATGAAGCTGTCGAGCCTGCCATCGGTTGAGAGCGAGCCTGCACACCATCAGTTGAAAGCTTGTAAACTTCACGGTATTCTGAACCCCGTGAAGTTGCAGGGTTGGATCGCCAGAGAGCTCCAATTCGAACTCTCTACCAATAGACCCCTGAAACTTCACAGGATTTAGAATCCCGTGAAGTTGCAGGACATGCACAAACATGCACGCACAATGTCTTTTCCTTCTCATTTACAACTTGTTATATATACATAATTTTGCAACAATATACACAAAATTCCAACCATTACACGAAACTTTTAACCGCATATATTTACGAAATTCCAACCACATATATACACGAAAATTTATCCACAAAAACAACAATTTTGAACAATCTAACCATATATATTCTCGAGATTCAGAATCACAAAATAAACATCATATCACAATACATACTCCATATCACAAGATAAATATCACATACATCCTAAAAGTCTTCCCCTTCTTCCTCTCCCTCTCTTATCCCTTCCCCTACCCCACCCCCTGTGTCCTCGATGTCTATGATCATGAGCCTCGATGATATGAGTATCCGGTTGTGTATGGGGTTTAGAAGTACTGGCTCCATCATTATGCGTCGTACTATGAGAAGTACCAGATCCATCATCACGCGTTGCTCTAGAAATCGTCTTACATTTTCGAGCGTACACATTTAAAAATTGGCGTGTTCTGTCCTCGCATCCTTCAAACTCATTGACGTGATTCGTATGAAACACATTCACTATTCTTTGTCTGATCTTATTGAAGACTGATATTGCTTTTGGATCCTAAATATCAACAACACTTTCATTTATACCTCCCTTAATCTCATCAAATGCATGGATTTGCAATTTAATCAGTATATACATAGCTTAGCAAGTAATATAATTACAAAAGAAGAATATTCTTTTTAAATGAGTTTAAAAGCTTACATAATCTCTCTCGATCATGGCCCTAAGGATGTAAGTATCTGACGGTTGGCATTGTATGAATCCAGTTGATTGGTGTGGGTCGCGTACTATCCATCTGCGTATGATATCTCAATACCAACACATGTACTCGTTATAACTCACTGGATTTCTCTCATTCTCTATGAGATTTCATTTATTATTCCACCTGTTTATGTAGGGCTCACAGTATTGCCTCCAGTCTACATGATGTGATGTCATCCGTTACATGTGATTGATGTGCTCAAGCCCATGCTGTTCAAGATTAAATTATCATAGAACAGATGGCACATGCATCTTCGTAATCTCCCAACAGATCATCGGGACTTTAGCTCTTCAGAAATCAACACTATCTCTAGAAATAGGTGCAAGGGAACCGAGATCTTGCAGAGAATAGGGCATCCACCTGAAACGTGTATCAGCATCTATAGAAAAATTTAAATATAATTTTTTGAATTGAGTCCTATTTTACCTATTTTTGTTGGACAATATCTAGCTCATTTCTATGAAACTCCGTATGTCTAGTCGGGGTTTTGTAGGATGCCCTCCTCACATCATACCTATTTGACATAAAGAAGATATGGGAACAAATTCATTATGAATAAAACTAGTAATAAAAGTAATTTTAAATTCAGGCATTATTATGCAAGCATCCCAAAGGCAACTGAACCTATAGATTGTAGTGCATCTGCAAAGTAGGTCGTCCAATATAAATGTGGTCACACGGCCAAACCTGTAGCAATGTCATGCCCCACTTGGAATCCTTATTCTCCATCAATACCCTGGCTAGTTCTCTGTAAAGGTATGCCAATACCGTACTATCCCATGATAGAGTACCGCACACCTCAAAATCCTCAAGTAGAGTCAGCCATCGTGCATGTAGAAGATTTTTCGCTTGTATCAGGAAATAACATATACCCTATCATGTGCAATATGTAAGAACAAGCAAAATATTGAATCGTCTCATTTGTGGCGTCAATGTGTATATCTTGTTAGACCCTAGAGGGAGAGTGATTAGGGTCTTATGCTAATCTAATCTGATTTTATGCCAATTAAAACTAATTAACAAGTTATCCTAGCAAGTATAAAATACAACAAGATATGTGAGCTAGGATAAGTGATATACACAAGGATAAACAAAATAAACAAGATAGTGGATGATATAAATAATGAGCAATGGACAATGGCGACAAGAAATATAAACATAAGAGAAGTGCGCCAAAGCAAACTCAAACACACAATATGATCACGGAGTTCGGACCTTCCGTCCTACGTCTCTGCTCCCCACTCCCGGGGAGAAATCTACTATCACAACTGGGTTTTCTACGCTCACCCGAATAATGTTTACACCTCACAATGTCGGTTTTCAACGCTCACCGATCAACGTTCACAAACACTCACAATGTCGGTTTTCAACATTCACCGATCAACGTCTACACTCCACACCTCACAATAATAACAAATGATTTGTTCTCAAATACAAGGCGAGAACTCAATTAAAGCTTACACTCAATTGTTACAACTCTCACCAACCCAAATATACTATGTATGAAAATACAATAAGCTCAAGTGGGTGTGTGTAAACAATGAGTGAAATCAAATCAAATCAAACTAAACTCAAATATAAATACTAGCTTAATAGAATGATAATCAAACAATAAAAAAATGTAAAGCTAGATAGAGTTTAGAAAACTTCTCCAATAAATGACAAGAGAGAGAGAGATGGATTGAAGCTCAAATATCAATGAATTGATCTCCACTTCCTCTTGTGGAATTCTTCACAAACCAAACCCTTAAACAAACTTAAAACCAAACTTAAAACAAACTTAAAACAAACTTAAACCATTGTTAAACTCTTGTTTAAAAACTTCTTGGATTCTTGAAAGATAAGAGTAAGAGGGTATATATAGCCTTCCAAAATCTCAGCCAAAACCCCAAAGGAAATGACCAAAAAACCCATAGAGAAACAGCTGAGGAACTAGCCATTGGAACCTAACGGTCAGTTCGGCGGTCGACGCGTGGAAAACTCACGGTCGACCGCGAGCAGCAAAAAGGCCAGGGTTTGACTCTGGACAGCAGACGGTCTACCGTGGCGGTTGACCGCGAAACTCTCTAGACTGCATCCGGTCGACCGTCACAGTCGACCGTGAGCCTCTAAAAAACTTACCGAGTCTCTGGACTCATGGGCGGTCGACCGTGGCGGTCAACCGCAAACTGACATATGAAATTCCAGGTTTATAAACAGTTTTCTGATTTTAAAACCCTATTTAAAATATCAAATAAATTCTAAAAAATGTAAAACTTTGGAAAATGATTGTAGACATAATAATACACATGCTACAAAAATTGGTTTTTAGAAAGGACCTCCCAAGTAAAAAATATCATCATTTTGCAAAATAGTCCAAAACATAAAAATGTAAACACATGAGTTTTGACACTTTAGCTTAACCATGTTTTGAAACATTACAAAATGATTTTGTGGACTTAATAAAAGATGTATATGATTATTGTTAAGTCGAAAACCTGAGAATATAATATTTTTACAAAATTACATATTCTATGCAATATATTCTGAAACATAATAGAATATGAAATAAAAATATAAATAAATTTGTTTGTTGTTTCATATCTATGTAGCTAAACCAAAACACAATAATAAATATGAAAAATGTAATTTCATATTTATAAACATGAAAACTATAAAATCATGTATGTATATATATAATTATATATATACATAGAAACCAAACTAAAATGTGTGTGTATATATGATTGAGCTTAAGGTACTAACACATAATATAAAACCTAAACTAAATTACCCAAGCTTGATCTTGATCTTCAATAGCTTGACTTGGTAACAAGCTTGATCTTGATCTTCAATAGCTTGACTTGGTAATCTTGCGGATGAAGCTTGAACTTGGATCTTGAACTTGAAATAGCTTGACTTGGTAATCTTGCGGATGAAGCTTGAACTTGGATCTTGAACTTGAATTGCATTGCTTCAAGCACTATATCCGCCAACCTCCATTTGATATGATCGTTATGGCGCAATCCATCCAACCTCTAACATATTATTTGTCTACAATAAATAACAAAATACAAATACTAGACAAATAGTATTAGATGTAAATTGTTTGTTAAATCATCATCAAAACAAGAAGGCCAACATATCTCCCATAAACATCTTTGGAAGCTACAATAACTTCATTGCACCACTCCTCAAATGAGGAACGCGCCGAAAAAGGCTCTCACATAACTCCTCCTAATTATGGTCATCCGTGCCCCTAACAATAAGGCCATCAATCTGGAGCCCACGTGTAATGGTTATGTCCTATAGTGTAATGGTACACTCTCCTATATACATATGAAAGGTGTTGATCTCTAGTTTCCACCTATCAATCAGAGCATGGATAAGGGTAAAAGTCAAGCCTAATCCATCTCATCGAGGAACACTCCAAAACCGGTCTGACTAGCCAACTGTAGTACTCGATCATCCTCCATCTCTCAAACTGAATGACTTTAGGAATGATCATCTATGTTGATGTCTGGTAGGGCCTGCACATTAATCAAAATTAAAAAAATCTTTTAGAATATGCAAATTTAAATTCACCTAAAAATAGAAAATATCTACATATTTATTTTACTTGTCCTAAGCCAATCTTGTGGGAACGATGACTGGTCGGAAGGTATAGTACACGACCTTAGATCTGCCCAAGGTCAATAGCGTATCTCTCTGCAATCAAAATATAATATATTAAACTTTCCAGCTAAATAATATAATCATATGTACTCAATCAAAACTAAACAATACAGAGCATACAAAAGGAAACTAAAAAGAAAACATGCGCATGGAGTAGCTTATATCAACATATAAAGAGCACAGTACATAGATATTCTATTCAAGATATAATAAAAAAGTTTATATTATACTAAAAAGTAAGTCACATATTCCATACGATCAAGCACCAAAAAAAGGATATATATTACAAAAAAGCAAGTCACATATTCCATACAATCAAGCCCTAAATAATCAACCCCTAAACCTAGTTGGACAACTGCTTTGTTGTGGCCTGGTTGATCGCATCGACTACACCTATTTTTCCTCTTAAATCCTTCTCGTCATTCGTCTGTAGTATTTCTAATTCGTACGGAACAAGGTCACCCAGCTGTTCTCTTATACAGAGGAAGTAATATCCATGGCCCACATTGTGTCCAATGTTGACTATCGTAAATCCGAACATGGCGTTATAACATGGGCATAAGGAAGCCATTGTAATTGCGGTATATTGTAAGTGCATGTACAAGTATGATCGACAAGTATATTGACACTGTAATAGAGACTTTCTCTATGTGATATTCTCTCAATCACCTCCTATTCATTAAAATTGTATCTAACAACACGACATGATCGAGCGTAAACAATCTGATCCGATAATATGTCTTCAACTCTTGGGGCCAACATCGATGAGATATTTGCTCCAAGTGTCGTCTGAGGAAGAACCTATTGAGTTTGTAAAATATTTTTGCAACTAAGGATTATATTGGCATACCACGAGCTCCCGTAAGCACATCATTGAAACTCTAAGAAGCATTTATGGTCATCATACAAAATCATTTCCCACTATCTTCACATAAAGCTAACCTATTGACGTTGTACTGACCCAAACTACTTGATCCAATCATATGCAGCTTGTGAAATGGACTTAATCTTCTCCCGTAGTTGATCATACTCTAATTTTTCCATTGCACATTCAGCTTGCCAAAGGATATTTTAAAGATGCACTTGTCCATGCTTCCTCTTGAAGTTATCCCTAATATGTCCTAAGCAATAGTGATGTTGATGCGATGATGGAAAATATCACTAGAGTGCTCTTGAAATACCTTTCATCCTATCAGATATGAATGTAATCGTCCGCATTCGCACGCTAGGAATACGATAACTAATACATGCAAAAAACCATGATCAATTTTTGATGTTTTCAACATCAACCATTACAAAAGCCAAAGAAAATAAACTGTCATCTGAATCTACTCTGGTTGTAATAAGAAATATGTCTTTATATTTACCATACAAGTAGGTACCTACAATGCTAAGAATAGGATGACAATAATTGAATCCCTCAATGCAAGGACCAAATACCCAATTCACCTCCGTGAATCATTTATCTCTGCCATCAACGGGTTTTGATGATACTTCATACACTGACCTCATATTTTTTTTGAGTGCTTCAAGATAATGCAGTAATATCTCATAAGATTTCTCCTAATCTCTAAATATTTTTATCATTGCCTTCCTCTAAGCATTCCAACACTTGTTGCATGCATGTCGAAGGTGGTCACTTCACGCACTAAAATACGAATATCCTTTGCCTTAGATCGAGATCCTCCCTTAGTTTAGGCATAATTAATCGATATGTGAAAGAGGCTGATGCATGTTTATGATTCATCTCTAATCGAGGATTACTACATGCGTGAACTCCGTTATAGTGTGTTATTTTAAATTGTCTACCTAATCTTACCCCCAAGCGTGAATTAAGCTTTCAATGACACTTTGCATTTCCATCATGGTGACCGCCGACATCTTCTTGTTCATTATCTTTCTTGTAAAAACAAACTACATTATACCTTGTTGCATTACTTTTAGTTTGCGTAAATTTCATATTTTTATGGACCATAAATGAATCGCATGAATCAATTTCTTCTTACTTTCAAATAGACCACCCTTTCTGAATGTGAAGTCGTCACCTTCTGTATCATCATTTAAATTTGGACCGATAAGAATATTTTCCATTATCGAGTCATCAATCCATCCATATCCATGAAATTCATCGGCCGGCGGATCCTCTAATACGATATCCTCATTGTCAGAATAATAAGGGTCAATTAATTGGTTGTCCCCTTCATCACCATCTATCAAACATGTCATGCTTTTAATTTGTAAGTTGTCCTCTTCTTCATCATCCTCAAATTCAACACTTGCATTCTCCTGTTCTATCATCACTCCAGTGAAAAGCCTTATATCTTGATGGGGAGTATTATAATCAAAGGCACTTGAAGTCCCTGTAAGCGAGGACCACTCAAGTATTGTGACTGTGTCCAATCCATATCCCATTGTGGAGACAACCTGTCAAGTCAACTTCAAGGTCCTCCAACATGCAAGAGTACACTCCGTCGTGATTCACCACTTTGCCCAAATTTTTGTGATGCTTTTCAATAAATAATTTCACCGAATGCTTCTCATCATTCATTATGAAGATGAGATCCACATCATAGTCACTTGAGATTTGAATGATGCTTATTCTGTTACGCATTACGAGATAATTGCAAATCACATTGAGTTGATACTCATGTGAATTGATTAATATAAGTTTATGTAAGTCATTAACCAATCCATCAAAAGTTCATGCTTTGGATATAAATAATTGTTTTGTCACACCTCCTTTATATACAAGCATATTATTCTCGAGATAGTTAATCTTCTCATCATACAAACAAATGATTAATATTTGATCGTTCATCGTTAGCTCTGGAGAAAAAAAATTTAATATCAACTAGTATTACATAAAAAACACTAAAAATAATATTTATAATTAAATTCCCTAATTTAAAATTTTACACTTAATTTTTACAATTCCCTAAATTTTACCATAGATCAAACATTAAAATTTTCATTTCCTGAATTTTTACAATTCCCTAATTTAAATAATTTAAAAAATGTTCACTTTTAACAATTCAGTTCACTAAATTTATAATTTTTCCTAATTTCCCATCAAATTTCTTACAAATTTTCTTATTTTTTTCATCATAAAACTCCAAATAAAATTAAAAAAAATCTAAACTAAAACAAGCTATTATGATGAAATAGTGAGAATATAAAAAAATTAGGAGAAAAAGAAAAGGTTTAAAGATTTTACCAAAAATTAGTTCAAACCCTAAAATTAAGTTCCGACAAACTTCGGCGAACTTCCGCCCAATGGAGGTCGACGGCGGTGGAGAAACGAGATCGAAGATGATCGGAGTGTAGGCGGATCGATGATGGTGGCAGATCAAATCCAAGTTGTGGTTGAAAGAGAGAGGGGGGAGAGAGAACAAATGGGAATCGCCAGAGAGAGAGAGAGAGAGGGAGGGAGGGAGGGAGGTGGGGTCAACTAATTTCATAGGAATCCCGTGAAGTTACATGGCCAACCCGACAGAGACTTTGAAGTCTCTGTATATGTGTGAGAGAGAGAGAGAGAGAGGTTTTAGTGAGGTGGGGTCAACTAATTTCATGAGAATCCCGTGAAGTTACATGGCCAACCCGACAGAGACTTTGAAGTCTCTGTTTTTGTCACCCTGCCGCTTCACCGGATTCAGAATCTCATGAAGCTGCAGTCCTCGATTGCCAGTAGCTTCACGGGATTCTGACTCCCGTGAAGTTCGCTCTCGACCTATCTAAGTGCAGTGGCATGCGTAGGCGTGCGTGTTGACCTTCTTGTTTTGATGATGTTTAACAAACAATTTATTACTAATGTTGTTTGTCTAGTATTTGTGCATTCCTATGTTTTGTAGACAAACAACGTAGTTGGAGGATGGATGGAATAGCGCTTCAACGACGATATCCAAAGGAGGTTGGCGGAATTGTGGAGTGAAGCATCGTACAATTCAAGTTAAAGATCAAGTTCAAGCTCTATCCGCAAGTGTACCAAGTCAAGCTTAATTGAAGATCAAGATTGCTTGGGTAATGTAGGTTTAGATTTTATATTATGTGTGTTAGTACTTTAAGCTCAATCATATACACACATACACACTTTGGTTTTGGTTTTGTATATATACAGTTATATATATATACATATATGTTTTTGGTTTAATAATTTTCGAGTTTATATATGAAACAAATGAATAGAATTGGAAAATACTATTTTGTTTCATGTTTATATGCCTATATATGATTTCACCTTTAACAAGCTTATATTTAATGAAATCATATTTAGTGTTTTGAATATATTGCATAGAATATGCAATTTTATGAAAATATTGTATTTCTAGGTTATAGACTTCATAACAACATGTTATATCTTTTATCAAGTCTATACAATTATTTCATAAGGTTTCAAAATGTTGTTTAAGTCAAAATATCAAAATATCAATTTTCAGGTTTTCATGTTTTGGACTATTTTGTAAAATGATGATATTTTTCATTTGGGAAGTCCTTTTTCGAAACCAGTCATTGTAGCATGTTTATTATCATGTCTACAATCATTCCCCAAAGTTTTACATTTTTTGGAATTTATTTGATATTTTTAAACAGCGTTTTAAAATCAGAAAAACAGTTTTCAGAAGTATCAGTACTCGGTCGACCGCACCGGTCGACCGCTCGTTTGTTCTTTCGTCAGCATGGTCCAGAGAGTTGGTCGGTCGACCGGTCCGGTCGACCGAAAGCTCAAATCGGTCGACCGACAGAATTTCCGGTCGACCGACGATGGCTTTTACTGTTTCCAACGGCTAGTTTTTGTACCGTTTTTGTAAGGGGTTTTGGTCTGAGGTTTTGGAGGCTATAAAAACCCTCTTTGATCTCAGTTTTCATGTACTCAAGAAATGTTTTAAACAAGTTTAAAGAGTTTTAAACAAGGGTTTAAGTGTGTTTTAGTGTTTGTTTGGTTTGAAGATTGTTTTCACAAGTGGAGGAGATCATCTTCTTGTTTGGGCTCCAATCTCCATCTCTCCATCTTGTCATCTATTGGAGAAGTTTTCTAAACTCTATCTAGCTTTACATTTGCTTAGTTATTTGATTATCATTCTTTAAAGCTAGTTTTTATATTGAGTTTAGATTTGATTATATTATCTCATTGTTACACACACCCACTTGAGCTTATTGTATTTGCATACATAGTATATTAGGGTTGTGAGAGATTGTAACATTGAGTTGTGCTTAATTGAATTTTCATCTATTGTAGAGAACAAATTTATATTTGTTACATTGTGAGTGTTGTAAGGTTTTCGGTGAGCCTAGAAACCGAGTGTGTTGTGAAGTTTTCGGTGAACTAGAAAACCGATTGTGAGGAGTGACGTTGATCGGTGAGCGTTAAAACCGACACTCGTGAGGTGTAAACGTTATTCGGGTGAACGTAGAAAACCCGGTTGTGATAGTGGATTTCTCCCCGGGAGTGGGGAGCGGAGACGTAGGACGGAAGGTCCGAACTCCGTGATCATTGTTTACCCCTTGTGTTAGTTTATATATCCTTACATATATCATATTGTATATCTTCTTGGTAGGATATATTATCTTGTGTTAGTTTATATATCCCCTTGCATATATATATAATTCATCATATAGGATATATCTTATTGTTTACATTGCTTATCCTAGCTCATATATCTTGTGGTATTTCATACTTGCTAGGATAACTTATTAATTAGTTTTAATTGGCATTTAATCGGATTAGATTAGCATAAGACCCTAATCACCCCCCTCTAGGGTCTAACAATTGGTATCAGAGCTTGGTGCTCTTTGATTTAAGGTCTAATCGCCTTGAGTTAAAGATCCAAGTTATCTTTTGTGCTATTCTTGTTTTGATTGCATTTGCATCTTGCTTGCATATTTTTATAAATTATGAATATGAATGATGCATCTTGTTTAGGCTATGATTCTAGTGTTGCTCCTAGATTAGACAATTTCCCCTATGCCCAATGGTGTGTTAGATTTAAACTATTTGTTAGTGTTTGCGTCAAAAGTTGGTTTTGTCATGGAATTCATTATATCTTTAGTCGATTACAATAAATTCAAAAAAAGAGATGGTCTTTTATAAGACCTCTTTTACACAACAAAAATGAAAAAATTACAACTCTTGGGAAACAAACGCAGGATCGTTGTTTGGATCACTGCTTGCGTGGGATCTTTGCCTGTGCCGGGAGCGCTTTGACTCGTGGACCACCAAATCACAGATTCTGATTGAATCGTGAGGGGTTTATGATTCTGACTTCGTTTATCAAAGTAAGAACTTGAAACCCTCACGATTCAATCAGAATCTGTGATTTGGTGGTCCACGAGTCAAAGCGCTCCCGGCACAGGCAAAGATCCCACACAAGCAGTGATCCAAACAACGATCCTGCGTTTGTTTCCCAAGAGTTGTAATTTTTTTATTTTTGTTGTGTAAAAGAGGTCTTATAAAAAGACCATCTCTTTTTTTGAATTTATTGTAATCGACTGAAGATATAATGAATTCCATGACAAAACCAACTTTTGACGCAAACAAGCTGGCGACCACAGTGGGAGCCAACGGTCTCGCTGCCGAGACCGTCGTGTCGCAGCCAATCATCAAGATCCCGGTTGAATCCATGGTCGAATACGAATTCGACCAGACCAAGTTTGAGGAATATCTCTCATCATCCTCTTCAAGATCTTCATTGTCTCGCAAGTACAAGAGGATCTCACAATTGAGGAAGACTTACATGCCAAAGAAGGCACAAAATGAAGACTCTTGCTTGATTGTTGCTGAGAATTTCACTCGCAACACCTCTGCTCACAATGACTCTTATCTAGTTAAAGAGTCATCGAATCAAAGCACGCCGGCATTGACGAAAAGAGCTCGTCAGAGACAACGCCAACGCCACGCTCGCCAAATGGCTAAGGCCTTGGAACAAACCGACGGGGTTCGTTACCACGCGGACCTAGAGTCGAGGAGACATCGAGTGGTTCAGTTGTCTCAACAACCAATCACTCGTATCTCTGCTAAAACAACGACGGAGGAATGGACTATTGTCAAAAAGACTCGTTCGACCCTCAAAGAACGTATACAAAAACGTCGTGCAAAAGCTGCTAATGCCCATGCTCTCTCACAACAAAGACGAGAAAAGAGAAAGGAAATGGTGACCAAAGAATCACCAAAACCCCGCCAAGTTTGGATTCTGAAGTCTGGACTTATGCAAAATCAGCATTCGGAGCCCGTTAAGACTCCATACCCACAAGGGGGTGGTTCTAAACGTGCGACTCCCGACATAACCTTGGATCGCTCAAAGACAAAAATAAATTGTCCTGAGAATGCCAACAAGGTTTTATACTCCCAGAAGAAGACGCATTCACCAAATGATATCGTCATACCTGGGAGATCATACCAACAGACGATACGATTTTTTGGCAATCATACCGATGAATCGTATTATCAAGTTGGGGTTGTGAATAATTTTCGAAAGAGAGTTATTCGAGAGATAAACTCTCGTTGTTCCTGTGCACGACTCGTCAAAACAGCATTATCAGAATGTGACTGTTTCAAACGAGAAGTCATCCCACGAAAAATCTCTGTATTATCGAAGCCTAAGCCGAGACATTTCCCCAAAAGAAAATCAGCTGCCCAAGATGATGAATTCCCTAAAGTCACCATCAACGTGGCTGATAAAAGAAAGTCTAAACGGCATTCGAGTGAATCAAATCCCGACTTTTATCCGAAAGGAAAAGTCAATCCAAGAATTGCTCAAAGGATGTCTCGACTCCAATTAGGAGCTATCAGACGCAGAGACTACAAGAGAATGCAAGAAGGAATGTCCTCGGAGGATGAATTCTCGGACACTTATTCTGCAATCGCTTCTGATGATACAATGTCTAGCACAGGACAAATCAGAGAAGTATTCACAATCACTGCTGATCAGTTCACTCAAATACTTCAGGAAGCTCTAGCCAAACAACGTGAAGAAATTAGAGCTGAAGTGAAGACAGAAATGAAGTTGGCTATCCAACAAATGAGAGAACTGTTAACTCAACAGCCTCAACCTCCTGAGTCCAATCAGCGACTTGAATCCAGCCACCACACTCGGAATGTTGTAGAGGACAGTGATCCAGAGGTGGATGAAGTCATTATGGCTGATACACCTCCCAATGACAATAACGCTGGGGGTGGTTTAACGGATCCTCCCAATAACGATATTGGGGGTGAGAAAATAAAAGAGCTTGAAAACAAAATCAACGCTTTGATGACGGCTCAAGAAGGGAAAAAGACAGGTATTCCGTGTCCCTATCCAAGAGAATGGGATTCAATACCATACCCGGCCAAATTCAATCTGGTTAACTTCACACCGTTTGAGGGGAAGAGTTCGCCAATTCAGCACTAGATTTATTTCAAGTCTCATTTGGGCATGATCTCTGGAAACGAGGCTTTAATGGTCCGGTCATTCGTTGGCACCCTTCGCGGACCCGCCTTCGATTGGTACCGACGACTCAAGCCAGAGAGCGTCAATTGCTGGGATGACATGGAAAGTTTGTTCCTCAACAACTTCTTCGATGATGATACCGAAGTGTCAATCGGAACTCTTTTGGATGAGAAGCAAAAAGACGGAGAGTCAGTCGACGATTTTGTCAAGCGCTTCCGTGGCAAAGCAATGAATTGCAGAGATCCTATTACAGAGGAGTTCATCCTGCAAACATGCCACAATAACCTCTCCATCGATGTCCTGGAAGCCCTGGGGGTCGTACCATCCAAAACTTGGAAAGATTTGAAAATGCGCGGTGAACAAGCTGAACACTTTCTTAAAAGAAAAAAAGCTGAGAGAAGCCAACCGACGACATCTGCAATCGCTGTGAACGCGACTCTCGATCCGAGGTTCCAGAAGATGATGAAGCTCCATCCATATTGGAATACCTCCTCGCTAATGACAAAATCGAGCTACCACCTATTAAAGATCAGGATGGAGCTAAGAGGATTACGGATCCAAACTATTGTGCGTACCACAGAAGGGTTCTTCATCCCACCGAGATTTGCTTTGGACTCAAAAATAAGATCCAAGCCTTAATTGACTCCGGCGTCATAACGACGAAAGAGGTCGAGTAAAGACGACCATACAACTCCAGTGGGTGCACGAGTATAAACTGTTTCCACACACTCCAAAGAGCATATGAGTATAAACTGCTTCTCGATTATCCAACTGAGTACATTGTTAAATCCGGTTTCGCAAAGGAAGCTGGAGGTGGATAATTCATGTAACGGGAAGTTCCTGGAAGAATGTTAAATGTAATATTCTTAGGGATAACCCCG